AATTTACTTTATTCCCCGGGCTTTTGGGTATTGGGTGCGCGGGTAATGCCGGCCGTATATCAGCAAAATAAGAGAGGGAGAGAGAGAGAATAGCGCTGTGTGTTTCCTCATAGGAGGGGGCCTACTTGGCTGCGGTCACAGTGTGGCTCGGCCGGCCGGCCGGACCGTGCGCACACGCTCCCTCACACACACGTAAACAGACACACACACTAGCGTGGCGGTTGCTCAAGGAAGTTGAAGAATCTTCTTTTCGGGTCGGCGGCGGCCAGTTTTGCGGTTTAGTCGCTTCAGGACCTGCCGCTGTGCTATGCGCAGAGGGAGCCGCGAGGAACCCCCGCGACGCAGCCGCCCTGCCCCCGCCCTCGCCCTGCCTCTGTTTGACGTCAAGACGGCGGCGTTGCGACGGCCACCCGGTGACCATCACACAGTTAATGAGCGAGCGCCCGCGCGCGCGCACACACAAAAGTATTTTTGATGTGCGCACATTTTTATTAATAAAGTCCAATTGTACCAGATTTTCTTGAGTGCATTGCACTTGTTTTTGGTAGCATGCTCTAACACAAGCGCAATTGCAATTGAAGGTCAAGTACACGAAAAATATACTAAACTTAAAAACAATTTTTTCGAGATGCGCGCTTGCCACAGCAGCGGGGTGTCGCCCTCTACACCCTCCGACGATAAAATTAAAAATAATTTTAATTTAATCTTAATAGGTTTGAAGCAAAACTTTGCTGAACTTTCCCGTGTTCATGCCTAGTTCATCCCGATGTAATTTATGTCAAGACGTATGGCGGAGGGATAGTGAGGAAGTACCGTCGGTGCGTTTGATGAAATGCCACACGGCGGCGCGGCATTCCATCTCCCGACGATTGCTGCATTTTTCACACTCGCTCCTCTCCTTGCAGAATGCCACCAATTATTATGGGTGTGAGTTACTGTACTCTACCGACCATGCGCGGAATGTGCCGCCTTGCGGGTACACGAGGGGCGGGATGAAGATGAGGGAACCTTTCCAAAGTTCAATTTATGTCGGTATTACCAGGCCAAGATTACATTTTTTAAAGAGTATTGTGGAAAGCCATATGTGTCTCTGCGCCGGAGCATATTTAGAACATCAGTGTGAGCTAAACACAAAAAAAGCATACTCATACACTTAACGATATTCACTTTGTTCCAATTATATGATGGACTTAACTTCAAAAATAAATAAACTATGCATTATTTATGCATTTATTAGTGAGTACGAAATTCACCTATATCAATTAACTGCAAAATGTTTGTTTTGTTCACCGGAAATAAAGAGTAAACATTTGAATTAATGATGTCCAATGCACCATTGTATTTCAAATTCACATCCGGTAGTTCAGGGATTAGGTTAACGGCGTTTACGGTTGAGCGTTGCTTGTTTAATAGGCTGCCTCACGGAAAAAAAATGTTTCCTTCCGGGCACTACTGAACGTTCGTCTAATGCTCCAAAATTTGTCCGAGCTCAAAATGGCATAGTACGCTTCCATTGAGTTTCAGTGCTGTGCTCTAAATTCTCTTTGCCTGGGATGCTACGATTAGCTCCCAGCGCTGGACATAAAATGCAACGAAAGAGCATCGATCTGGACACGAAACGTATAGTGCTCAGAGAGATTTTTTTCTCAGTATGTTGCCCCGGTCCAAGTGGTCCGCGATTATAAAAATGGGTGTACCTCACAAGTTAAACGTAGTTGTACGCGAGTTTTCGCGAGTTGGGCGTGGGCAAAGTGTACAACAAGTTGGCGAGTGGGTGGGGGTGGGGACCGGAGGGACCCCCCAGCCGTGCGCAGCTCCTCATTTTTATCGACTTCTGCATTTTAGATCCGTGCCGGTCCACGAGTCTGGCGGTACATTTAGAGTCTAGAGTCTCGCCGGTCGCCCCGCCCTCGGCTCTTCTAACTCGTTTATAATTCTCTCATTTCCTTAGGTGCCGTCGGTGCCGACGCACGCGTACTGTTTGCGCCCCGCCACCGCGCCCCACTGCGCCCCGCCCTGTCCAGCAGCCCACCCTAACCTTGGCCAATGTTGGCAGTGCCTTACATCGCACCGCATTGCCCGGCATGGCATGGCGAGGCGGCCTGAACATGTGTGTGGGAGGTTTAGCGCCATTGTGCACATTGCTTTCACTGATTCAGCGGCCGGGCCGGGCGGCGCGTAGCGGCGGTAGCAGCGGTAGAAGCGGTAGCGGCGGCGGCAGCAGTAGCTGGCAACGAAATGCGAAAAGTAATTTGCATCAGCGAGCCGCCGCCGCCGCCGCCGCCGCCGCCCGCACAACCTCCTCCGCCACGACCACCACCTCCACCTCCAACTCCACGCTAGGCCGGCAGCCTGCACGGCATGACTCAACCTCCAAAAGAGTTTTATCCAGCTTGCAGGACGCAGGACCTGTGGTCCTATAGCTGACCCTGTGCTCTACGCTCTAAATATAAAATTCTGTAAGAATGTACACAACTTGACTAAATTTAGGAAAAAAATGCATCCAGTCTGAATGTGATGAGAAAACGTTGCCTTTTTGGGAACAAAATTGCCCCTTTACATTTTTAGTGTACAAGATAACATTGGGATTGTGCTCAGCGCATGTTCTTGTGCCAAAAATAGGCTTATCTGGGTGTTGAGTGTACACTCATGCTCATGCGTCCATGAAAATATCAATAATTTCTTCATCTCTCGATATCTCGTCTGACTGAGTTTTCTTGACTAAACAAAGAATACCAACCAGCCGGGCACATGATCGGCGATAAAAACTGTCCTGCTAGACACACTACAAACTGTATAGGAAGAATGTGTGTGTTTGTTTTAACAGTGTCGTCTTGGCTATATACTCACATCTATCTATTAAAGTGACTAGGACTTACAGCTAAATGCTTGACATCTGTATTTTATACACTCTAAAAAGTAATTTTGTTATTTAACGGTGAATTTGATGCTAAGTTCCATATTATGGATTTTATCGTTGTATACAACAACAATGTTTGTGATGTAGCAACATATTTGTTCAGGAGTTTTTTTTTTTTTTTTTTTTTTCAACAGAATTCTGTTTTGTGACTACACTAAATATAAAAGCACAATTAGAGTGTCTGTTTGTTTACTATTACAAATAAATTCTCATAAAATCTTTAACAAACATTGCCGTTATACATAAAAACCAGTGCATTTTTCAACAAGTACAGTCTGTGAAAAACTAAACAATAATCGTTGTTAAATCACAATTAACATTTTTTTTACAGTGCAGTGCATGCGTGTGGGTGGGGGTCGGGTCCCAATCATTTAAATACACACCAGCACGTTTGCATGGCGGTGCCCGTTTAACTATACGAAAGCAGGCGTGGTTTAGAAGAGGGGGTGAAGCGATCGCCCTATCCACGCCCCCCCCCCCCCCAAAAAAAAATTGTCCTTAGTGATCCGCCGGCAGTTTGCGACTACGCCCCTGTATGTAGGCTACCAGCAGTGCATCGCCCCCTCCTTTAGCCGGACCTTCTTCAACCACGCCTGCATACACAGCAAACATTTTCCCGGGAAGTTCCCGGTTTGTTCCCGGAAAAATTCCCGGTTTTCTCTGGCGCATGCGCAGAGCTCAAGTTGACGAAGTTTCGTTTTTTACTAATTTCGTTTTTTTGATGGTTTGTGAGCCGCGCTGGTAGAAATGAAGCTGGGCCGTCCTCAGATTTGTTTTACAACCGGTTTGACGTCAAAATTCACTCAAATACGCGTTCTTTCCTTAAAAGTTCCTACATAACCTAAAAATATAAGGCGGTAAAAGTGAACTGGGAAGTGCTTTCCCGAAATCAACCGGGAACTTCACGGAAAATTTTTTGCTGTGTAAAAATAGACGTGGTTTCTCAGCCATTTTACATTGTCGTGTGACACAAATAGTCCTTATTGTATAAGCTACTCGGCTATCAATACTTTTCAATAAACAGGGGTTGTCCACCCTTGCCGTGTATCCGCTTGATCAGCTCCACTCTGCCCTAATGACATTGTCAGACCCGGAAGGGTTGGCGCGATACGGCGACGCGGCGGCGAGTCGGCGGCGGTGCGCGGGCCGGCGCGGGGTGGCGAGGCGTGGCTAGATATGCAGTTTGGCGCGCGTGACTGGGGCGCACTGCCTCTCCCCGGCGCGTTTTTACGAGTTTTTATCTGGTGATCGTGCGGCTGCTTCGCGTTTTCGTGGATGGAATAACAAAGTGCGGCGGAGGCTGATTACCAGTGCATCGTATGCACGTGTGATTGCATACTATTGTTGTTCCTTTAGGCACCGCACAACATATGGGTCCAACAGCAATTTGGCACACGTACACGTACAGGGTTGGTGATCCGCGCCGTGGTTTTTTTCTGCTTATGCTGTACCGGATTCATGCGTGCGGGCGGGCTTGCCTATCATCGCTCGCCATGGCGCCTTACGGCCCCGTGCGAGTATGCAACCCGTCCGCACGCATGAATGCGGTACAGTGTAAGCAGAAAAAAACCACGGCGCGGATCACCCACCCTGTAT